TATATCCTCTGATCGTGTCGTATGAGTTGTTTCTATATTTAACACATCCACCATCCTTAAGGGACCGAAACTCCCTAAGCTCTTCCCTCCTTCCTGTCATACGAAGAGAGCAACCACTGTTAATATACCATTCGTCGTCAAACAGCTCGTCACTGATAACCTGCAAACTTAAGCAGATTTAGGAACCCAAAGTCTCTTGGGCCCTGGTGAGTTTTGTACAGAATAGGGAATTGCAACCGAAAGATCAACCATATATGTTCTATTTATTAAAGTGGTTGCATCTTTTCGTTGGATGGTGTAAACTTTGATTTTATTTTTATCTTGTTTTAACTGGAGTGTGTTATTGTTTGTTGGTTTCACAGTTGAGGTTTTCTTTGGAGTCCCAGGGTTAGCTGACTTTTTGGTATTTTGGACTTCAAAATCTGAGACGAGCTTTCCCTTTCCTTTGATATCCTTCACAGAGTTAGGCTTTGGTTGGGAGTGAGGATGATGATTTTTGGGACAGAAACTTGACTTTTGGTTTTGAGCACTTGTGTTGGGACCGAAACTGGACTTTCGGTTCTTGGCGTAGTAAGAGTTGGGACTGAAACTTGACTTTCGGTTCTTGTGACTACTAATATTAGAACCGAAACTGGTCGTTCGGTTCACCTGACTGCATGACTAGCAGTGATTGCAAGAAGGAGACTTGGCATGTGCTTCCTTTTTCATCTTGAGATTAGAAGCTTTTTCAGAGCGAACATAAGTGGGGTTTTGGGACTGCCAAAACTGTTTTCTCTCATTGAGGTTTTTCATGTATCTTTTGTTCCTCTGGCGTTTCTGTTCAGCAAGTTGCTCTTGAGTCAAGTGAATGTTTGCCTTAGGTTTTGTTTTCTTCTCATGAGCTTCGGTTGTTGTTGATGATACGCTGGAAGCTTTCAGTGGTTCGTTTGGTATTTCTTTTGTTCCACTTGAGCTGGGTTTATCAAAGCTTGAGGGCTTGTTGAGGGGTTCGAGAATATATCGTCCCTTAACTCTCCATGAGGTCTGTTCTGACAGACCAGCTGTTTCGTCTGGATTATCGATGGGAGCCGACCAGAAGAGGTTATCGCAACCGTCAGCATTATCTTTGTCAACCATGGACGTCAACTCCGCCGTTTGTTTCTTAGTTACTCCTGTGACTGCATACACTTGGTTTGGTGTAGTTTGTACCTTCTGATACACAACGGCCTTTTCTTTGAGTTTCTTGGATTTATCCTTTGACACCCGAGCGAACTCAACCGAATTTTCAGATATGAGTGGTTTTGCTGCATCAGGTTCGCTCTTAAGAAATTCTGAACAATCGACCTCATCTTCTACGAAGATTTCACTCATCTCACTGTCCTCATCAAATTTTAGAAGTTGTTTCTAAATTTATTTTATTTTCTGAACTTAATTTGGCGTTAGATGAGTCAAACTTCTGTATAGTCTCGGTCTTGATTTTTAATTTATCATTTTCGTCCAGTAAATTCTTAAGCATGCATTTATGTTCTTTGGACTCAATGAAAGATTCAATTTTGTCCAGTCCATATTTATAGGTTACTGAAATCTCATCTGAAGACATTATAGATTCACATTCAGCAATGACTTCGTCTTCCTTAAATTCAAGGAAGGGAAAAATCATTTTACGAATCTTTTTACCTATCTCACAATCTAGATGCAACTGGGTGATATTTGTATATAAGCGTTTAGCAATCAAACAGAAAACATTTCTTTGTTTTAAAAACTTTAAATTGTCACGTTGCAAATAAATAAGTTCATCCCTAGCTCTAACTAACTCTGACTCCTTCTGCTGAATCCACATCCTTCTCTCCTCACTCTTGGAAGATTCCCTACTGAGTTGGTCAGTTAGGTTAGAATTCGCTAAGCGAGTTTCCATAAGACTTCCACTTAAGTTAGAAAACTTGAATTTTAATTCATTTAATTCTTTTTCGTAGTTTGTTACCGGTATTTTAAGAGATTCAAGTATGGATTGTACCTTCTTGATCAACTGATCGCAATCGTTGATCCTTTCACTCACAGGCTTAGCAGCGTAACATTTGTCTTTCTTTAGTTTCGCTTCCTCATGCTCACCTTCGGTTGTATATCCCCTCATTTGTGACACCCCTGCTGTCACCATTAATCATCTTCCAGCCGTCTCAATAACTCCTTCTTTTGCCACATAAGCTCTTCCATGCGAGGGTCTGCGTACCTCTTCATCTTCAGAGTCTGTAGACCAGACTTCTACTCCACCGAACTCATCATCAATAATATTTTCCTGCACAATTAAAGCATTCATAGAGACGTTAGTTGTTTTCTTCTTCTTTATCTCCTCCAGCTTTCTCATGTAGTAAGCTTCGTCATCTTCACCATCCTTCTTCTCAGCCATCTTCCTTAGCATGCAATCCTTGGCAAAGTGGTTCTTGCCATGACAGTAGTTGCAATCGTACCCAGAGTCTCCTACAAGCTTACTCTCCTTCTTTCCGTCGTCCTTTTGAGAGGTGTTCTTGTTTTCTTCTTTCACCTTTTCAGAGTTGTAGCTTCCCTGCCAATTTCGGTTCTTGTTGACAGGGAACTTTTTGCGAGCAAACTTCTTTGGGTTTGTGACCATCACTTCATATTCTTCACTAGACAGATCACACTCTGACATATCAGATTCCTCTTCTTCGTCTGCTACATTCTTGCTCTTAGAAACAAGGGCCAGTGAACCCACACCCGAAACTACCTTCGCTTCCTTTGTCACCTCGCTTTCATGAGATTTGAGTATACCCACCAGTTTCGCCAGCGAATATGATTTAAATTGTTCATGAGCCTTCACGGTCAAGACCACTGCCATCTATTCGGGCCTTAAGCCATTCATGAATGTAACCTTTTGTTCGATCAACTTCCTTTCAATACCATGCTTCATCATCTTGCTAAGCAAATGGTTGAAACGATTGAATGTCTGAATGAGTTTCTCTTCCGGTTTTTGTACGAAAGCACCGAATTCAGAGAGCAATAGGGTTTGGATCGAGTGCTCTAGATCCTCATCAGTTGAATACAATTCTTTCAACCTATCCCATATTTCTTTAGCTGTTGTGGATGAGCTTACCAAACGAAAAGTGTCGGATTGTAAAGCGAATCTGATCATTCTCATGGCTTTAACATTGCATAACACCTTGTCTTTTTCGTCTCGAGGAATCTTCTCTTTTTCGTCCATCAAGAGTTGGTTATACTCTTTTTGAGTCTTGACCGTTCTATTCGTTCCAGAGTGAACAAACGGACCCAATGTTATTGCCTCCCAGATAAGATAGTCGTTGTCTTCAGATCCAACGACATAGTCTTCGAAGTGATGTGCCCATACTTCATAATCTTGAGTATAGAGAATGGGAACCCTCGTAGTGGATCTTATACTGTTGGAGATGTTGATTGGATTGATTTGAGAGTCGTCGTGAGACATGATTAGCTTCTTCTTTTAATCTACTAGAATCAGACTTGTAAAGTTGAACTTAGGGTTTTATCAAACACAAGAGATACCGTCGACAAGAAGAAGACGGCTTCTTTATATTGATAAAAGCGGAAACCCTAAAGTATTCCTCAAACAGAAGAGATGTGTATGTATTACACAGTCTCCTTCTCTGATACCAATTGATGAGATTATTGCGCTATAAGATCGATAGATTCAAAACAGATAAATGATATTGATCAAGTAAAGAACACAAGAATGGGTCAAATGGTGTCGAATGATTAATATCTCACACCTCAGAAGAGCTCGATGAAGAACTTCGACTGTAGAGCTGTGTAAGGGTTACAATGCAAAAGTTATTAATGAGATCGTTAACCTAAAAGTTATACATGCATGCATAATATATAAGCTAACCCTAATGATAATCCACGGTTGGACAGGCCCAAACCGGGTAAACAAAATGGACTAACAGACGAGCCCAAAGACGCAACACTTAAACCCAACAAAAATAGTTGATCAAAACGTCATGAATGTAGCTTTTTCTCAAAATAAAACAAAAAACATAGGTGATTTTTTTTGTTGATTTGTGACCAAAGAATTTTTTTCTACTTTCATAATCTTAAAACAATACAAATTTGTAATAAAGTTAACCTATATATATATATATATATATATATATATATATATATATATATATATATATATAGCTAGGTTAATGTGTTTCTTACATTTATTGTGTGCTAGAATGCACCAATAGGAGTTTCGTAAAATTAAATAATTATCTAATTAAATAAAGATAGATATTAAATAATTTCCATAATTGAATGTATATTAAATGATATCCATAATTATAATTCTCTTTTTATGGAAACTAATTAAATTCGTCATTAATGTCAGCAATAACATTCTTTCAAAATGAATTCGCATCTACGTTTTTATGTGTGAGTTCGTTTTTTGTTTCAGGACTCATCACTTAAAATACAATAAAGTTGCATGAAATATGAAGAATGAGAGTGTATTCTACTATAATACACTCTCATTCTGCTACAATACATCTCATTCTTCTAAATACGAATTCATTCTGAAAGAATATTATTGTTGACATTAATGAAAAATTTAATTAGTTTCCATAAAAATGAATTATAAGTATGGATATCATTTAATATACATATAACTTTTACTAAATTCTTATTGGTGCATTCTAGCACACAATAAATGTGAGAAACATTTGAACCTACCTCTCTCTCTCTCTCTCTCTATATATATATATATATATATATATATATATATATATATAGAAAAAGAGAGGTAGGTTCAAATATTCTAACTAATTATTGTATGGATGTAGGAATGATTATGGATCAATCATTTCAAAATGTTATTTTTGTAACTTTATATATATTTAATTTAGAAAATCCATGATTCAAGGACAGTTACCATAAGTCGACCTTGAACTCTATAAGCCCCCGTATATCTCTTTTCTTCATCTCCATACGCCTTTGTGTACCATAAATCGAGTGCTAGCTTCACCTTCGTTGTCTTTGAAAGAACGCCATCATTGTTATCGATTTCGCCACTTTGAAAGAGTGTCACTCAACCAAACGATGTTATTTTCGTCATAACCACCATGTCGGAACCCTAAATCGACGCCATCGTCGGTCGTCGCTTCAATTTCGCCACCGTTAACCGCTGATTGAAGTCCAGTATAATGAATCCTTCTTTTTTCCCATTTCTTTTTTGTTAAGAAAACTCTAGTCGCCATCGATCCAGCCCTAATCAAACACCACCCTTGTCGGTCCACCGCAAGACCTTGCTGAGCCGCCGTCGTTGAATCATCGATGCACCAAAGAACCGTTGTTGAGTCGAAGATGTTGCACCATTGGACAGTTGCTGAACAAGGGCACATGTTCATTTTTTTCCTTAATTCGTTCTTCACTTCTTTCAATCCTAGTTAGTTGTTGTTTGGATTCTTAAAACAGATGTAGCAAGTATTATTCATACAATAGTCTTGATGAATACAAAATGATGTGTTCTTTGTACAAACTCTCTCTAGGTGAATGTGTATTCTGGTAGTCTTTGGTGCCATCTGTAATTCAAATCAGATTTTGTCGCATGGGACTACTGACTACAAGAACATGTAATTAGTTGTTTATTTTTATTCAGTGTTAGTTGTATGCATGTATGTATATTTGGTTTCTTGTAATTAAGCTTAGAAAAAATTCTCATTATAAATGATGATGTTATATCCAGATATATTGAGTATGAATTTGCCAACAATCATACCTCCATGATACAGGGGCTCCACTATTCGCATTATATATCATGTTAAAGGTGAAATGTCCAACTTATGTAACGAAGGTTATTCCAAGCAGTTCCTATAAGATCTGTGGTGCTTGTTTGTTGCTCGTTACCAAAGAGTAGGAAGATGATGTCGGAAGTGTAAGTTGTGCCAATCACCTACATTGAAGTCTTGTGCGTCTGATGAGGTAATACAATTCGCTTTTTTAACTTTTTAGGAAATGACACTTAGGCTTAGTTCCATATTTGGGCTGGAAAGTTATTACAAAAGCTATTGGGCTAAATAAATATGAATTCTAGTGGGTTATTCACATAAACATTTCAATTGAGAATCTAGCCTCTGGCATATGATATGGATAAATAATTTTATCTAATAGTCAAGATTTGTTGTTATATAGTTGATTATAAGTTTCAATTGGCAAAAGAAATCTTATTTACATTGCCCATGAAGGTTTCTGAATGGATTGTTATATTTCAATTTTCGATAACCGAGGTTAATCATGGATAATTATGTAATGAATGTGTTTGTTTTTGAATATTTTTTAACCACATATTAGGATTACACCAATCGTTCTTAAAGCATGTCACTTTTATGAATTGATGGCTAACTGTAACACCCCGACTCCCAGGTATAATTTAAAAGCTTTTTATTCGATTTTATTGAAGTAACTCGACGATTTGGAGGCCCCAACTCTTCGTGTCGAACCTAGTCATCCCGCGTGGTTTTTGACGCCTACTCAACGAGTCAGAGGACCCCGACTCGACGAGTAGAGGTTGTGCATGGAAACCCTAATTTTTAGGGTTTTCCCCCTATTTAAAGAACCTTAAATCCTCTCCTCAGCCTCCCTTAGCAGCCTATCATCCAGAAACAAACCCTAGCAAGCTAACTCTCCATTTTTGAGTGTGTGAGGCTAAAGGAGTGTGTTTTGGTGCATTTCTTAAAGAGATTTGAAGACCTAGAAGCTTGGAATGAGAGGGAGCCTGTAGATCCAGCACCCACTTCATTTTGGCATTCATTTGAAGGTAAAAAGTCTTTACCTTGGCTTTCCATTTCTTAGATCTTCTCTCATGCGTGAATATCGTCATTTTTGGAGAAAAATGGGGTCATTCTCGAATTTGAACTTGTCCAGAAGATATGGTCTCAGATCTGGACTCCTCTAGGTCCCAAATTCATAAATCTATTAGATTTATCTAGTATTAACCCCTCACCATGCCCTAAACCCCATTCTAGACTTGGTTTTGATATTTTAAGCCTTTAAGACCTTGCATGCATGTAAAGTTTGCAACTTTACGTGGAATCTGTGCATTAGGAAGCTAGATCTACAAGTTGGAGGTTTGGAGTATCTTAAAACGTCTGAATGGGAAAAGGACTGAAGGGACTCGATGAGTTGCTTGGTCAACTCGACGAGTCCGATGAAGATTGACGGTGGTTGGTTTCTGCATGGATTCGGCAAGTCAGTAAGAGGACTCGACAAGTCAGTAAAGGTTTTCCTCGACTTTTGTACACGCATGGACTCGACGAGTTGGTTGGAGACTCGGCGAGTCAATTAGGGGTTGTGATGATTTCTGAGTTCTTAAGGAACTCGACGAGTTTCTAGCTGCACTCGACGAGTCGGGTCAACATGGACTGTTGACTACAACCGTTGACTTTGACTTTGACCAAGGGTTGACCAGTTAGACTTTTGAGGGTATTTTGGTAATTTGGGATTCTGATGGACTTGGTCCTATGGTGAATATAGTGTTGGATTAGTGTCTAAGTCCATAACTATAATTGGTATGTACTTGTCCCGATTTGGCATGGTCCATTTGGGTTGCATGGCATCGGAATAATTTGGATAGACTTTTGTGAGAAAAGGATATTTATGATTTATTAATATATTATAAGTTCTAATATATTAATATGAAATCATATTATTTAATTAGTATTGATCAAGAATTAATTTGGAATTAATTTTGTGATCAAAAGAGACTAACTAAATATATGGGGATTGATTATGTAAATCATTCATTCTTATATATGTGTGGGCTTATGATCCATAGTTCTTCATGTTGGGATAAACCCATGGGGTAACCCATGGATACTCCATGGAGGTTAAAACCCATGGATCATGAGGAATATGAAAAGTCATGAGTTACATGGTGTAACCCTAATAGCCACAATATATAAAGAGCCCATAGCTCAAGAAATCGGAACTAAGGATTCACATGAGAGGGCTAGCCGATTTTGAGCATAATAACTTTTCTCTCTAGTTATTCCAAGTTGTTGGTGGTGTTGTGTGAGCCATTTGAGGTGTCACATTTGGGGCACTAGGCTCTTAAGCTCCATGGAATCAAGCTACAACAAAGAGGTATGTCATTCTACTAGATTCTTGTATTGTATATACTTCATATTATGCTAGTTAGGATGAAACCTTGGAATATTGAATATTTGCATGTATAATAGAGAAAACATAGATCCAAGGTTTATAGGGTTGTATGTGCACCATAGCATGTTGTAGTATACAAAACCCAACAGTGGTATCTGTGACAACCCGAAATTTTTTGCCTTGTAAAGCCAGTACAATCAACCTTAAGTCAGACTCGCTCCTGCTATCTTTTAGCACTGTTTAGAGTCTGTCTGGGTGTTCTAAGCCTAGTACATTCAAGGAGTGAGTGATAGGAAGTACCTGCTAGAGACACTGTACAACATTCAAGCCTTAACCACCAACAAAAGGAGTTCACGGCCAAAGCACAAGAGTTTACGGCCGTAAACTCAAGCTGGCCGTAAACTCTAGGCTGGCCGTAAACTCTTGCCAGCCGTAAACTCATGTCCATAAGTGTCCTACTCCTTTACTTTTCTTTCATTCTTACACTTTCAACTCAAGAACACTTCCATTCTCTCTCAAGTATCATCAAGATTTTCATTCCCGATCTTCAAAAACGTAAGTGTTTCTTCCATCTATTTGTTGATATCCTTCTCAATCTAGTATATCCCTTTGATTTCATCCATGAAAATTGTCTTTTGGCTAGATCTTCATCTTTCACCAAGAACACCAAGAACACACACTTGTTCTTGGTGGTCGTGAACTCCATAAAGCCTCCCAAAGGTGATTATTCTTTCCCTACCCTTGCTATCTAGTAGAGTCAGTAGCCTAAACACCTGGAGCAAACGAATGAGGATGATCTCCAGGAGTTTACGGCCATGCAATTGTTGGGTTTTAGTATACTACAACATCCTATGGTGCACATACAACCCTAAATACCTTGGATCTATGTTTTCTCTATTATACATGCAAATATGAAGTTTCCAAGATATTACCCTATACTAGCATACAAATATCATATACTTGGGTAATAAAATAGATAGAATACATACCTTTTTTTGATGTAACTTGTCTTCATGAAGCTTGAGTGCCTAGTGCCCCAAGTGTGACACCTCAAATGGTTCACACAACACCATGAACACTTGGAATAACCTTGAGAATAAGGATACTTTGGTTCTCTCTAGTGAAATCGGCCTTGCCCTTTTGTGTACACACACTAGTGCCAATTTCACCAACCAAGGACATCTTTATATAGTGTGGAGATTAGGGTTAAACCCTAATACCCATGACCTTTCATTTCATATGATCAATGGGTTAAACACTCCATGGACTATCCATGAAAGCTTAGCCCAACCTAAATGAACTTGGCCCATCACACACATATATCTTAGAGTCCATATTTAATTAGTTCCTTTTGATCACTTAATTAATTATAAATAAATTCTTGATCAATACTAATTAAATAATATGATTATATATTAATATATTAGAACTTATAATATATTAATATAAATCACTAGTATCCTTTTTTCCTCATCTTGTCTATCCAATTGTCCCGATGCCATGCAACCCAAATGGACCATGCCGGGTCGGGTCAAGTCTTACCAATTATAGTTATGGACTTAGACATTAATCCAACAGCAATCTCCCTTGGCCGTAAACCCCTTGGCTGTAAACACATAGGGTCGTAAACCCCTTGGCCGTAAACACATAGGGCCGTAAACCCATGGCCATAAACACCCCTTGATGAATCACATGTGATTCTAACACTTGGTCAAAGTGTTTCCTAGTCCCTAAGGGTGTTTCCTTGCATTTTAGTTGCTTATAAACACTATATTCATGAAAATACATGCCATATATGTCATTTAGGACTCGTTTGTGTTCCGGGACTTCATTCGTGGAACTTCTCATCCTTACGCGCATAGTCGTTTGAATCACCCACAGAAAGTGAGTTCATACCCCTATAATGAATCTTTTAACTGTTTTAAATCCTTTTAAAGGGGGGAATAAAAGTTGAACACAATGATAATTGTGTAATTATTTGTTATAAACATCTTTCAAAAGATTACTTATGTCTTTTATAAGTGATCAAAACATTTCAAAAACTCTTTTCAAGTTATGTTACTTTATGGTTTAACAAAACTCCGTTTTTAAAGTACAAGCATAACTTAGTAGAAAAATGAGTTTTTTCAGTAACAGTTCAAGTAAAATACTAGTAAACTATAAGGGGTATAGTTTAGGGATTCAATTCATACTAGATACTAGAGCATACTATAAAGAGAAACAGTGAGGTAGAAACAATACA